GAAGTTAGTAACATTTTGAGGCAATCTGAGAAGCCCCTGTGCAGAAAATGAGAGAGGGATCTCTGTGCAGGAAATTTCATGCCATTTTCCCTGCCAGACTCCCACGCCAACGCCGCCTCCTCTCCCACCGCAGCTTTTCAATAAGCATGAAACCTGCAGCCTGGCAGTCCCTAGAGGGGGCAAAATAGACCAGAAGATCCTTCCCTCTTTCCCCTCCCCCTCCCCCTTCTATTGTGTCCCTTAAGCTCAGGTTGTGTACTGGTAAGAAGGGAGGTCCCATTGTAACAACTTGTCACGGAAGCTAATTTCCAGTGTCATCAAGGGGCATATGCACCACTAACTGTTGGCAGAGTCTGGGATTGCCTAAGACATGACATGGCGCAGGACCATGTAAAGCTCATTTGCCTGGTTATCCATGGGAGACCATGGCTAATCTGATGTCTCGTCTTGTAACTGCCATGGATCGGCGGGATACCCTACAAGTAAGTTCTGCTCAAATCTCTGAAGTCTCATGGTACCTTCAGGAGCAAAGTACTCTAGCAGGCAGTCTCACTGTAGGTATTTCTGTAGCATAATTACGAAGCTAAAGATAGTGGGTTACCACAGCAGCACTCAGGCCTCCTACCCACTTGCCCACTTAATCTCTAAACTCAGTCTGTGTGAGATTTATTCTAACGGGCAAAATAAGATCAGTGCTGTTGTGAGAGAAGGTAGCTCCAGCCTGAAAGGCTGTGGCTTGCAACCAGAGTTAGGTTGCCCTACCTGTCCTTCCAAAGACAGTATTGAATTGCATTTACTTGCACTGCATGATTACAATATAGCACATGTATTACTCAGCTGCTATGACTGGTTTCTTATAAGGTGGCCTCTGCTCCTACCCTACCTCCATCCTTTTCCTTTTTTTAATGAGGCAGGGTCTTAATGTGGAACCAAAGCTGGCTTTAGAATCACTGTTCTCTTGCCTCAGTCTCCTGAGCGCTGAGATTATGTGTGGGCCACTGTGCCTGCTGCTGTTTGAAAATTTAACGGGTGCCAATTACTATTGTGATATTTTTATCCCTGAGTGGATCAATATGAATCATACATTTGGCAGTTTCTTGGCACTAATAATTACCTTTACCCTTTCTCTGGGCAAACTGTTACTCACTCTGTTGTACTGTATTGACACCCAGGTTGATATTTCAATACCCAGAATAAAAGTTTTGAAAGCTGAGGTTTTCTAATGATACTTGCTCCTTTGTCATGGGTGTTGTATTGTTTGCTATCTTCCCAGAAAACCGCACATCTGTCTGCCCCATCAGGGTGGATCATGGCTAGCTGTGCATCTATATGCAAAGTCCAGGTGACGTGCAGTGGGTACTTAGGGTAGGAGGAACATGATAATCTTCTCAGTCTCTAGTTAGCAAGATTTATTTTTCATTCGTGTGTGTGTGTGTGTGTGTGTGTGTGTGTGTGTGTGTGTGTGTTCGTTCAAGTTGAGTGCAGGTGCCTGGGGAGGCCAGAAGAAGGCATCAGATTCTCTGGAGCTTGAGTTACAGGTGGTTGTGAGCCTCCAGATAAGGATGCCAGGACTGAACTTAGGTGTTCTGCAAGAGCAGGGAGTTCTCTTAACTGCGGAGTCATCTTTCCAACCCTTTAAAGTAGATTTAAGTAGAGATCATCGCCTTTCCAGCTCTTTAAGGTAGATTTAAATAGAGGTCATCTAAAAGAGTTTAAATGTATTTCTCTCTCCTCCTGTTGGAGGAGTGATGCATGTTCATCTCAGGAGAAATCTAAAGACAGAGATAAAAATCCCATGCCCAGGCTGGGTGGGGCCTAGAGGCCGACTACTTGTATATTCATCTTGTTTCCTAAACTCCTCAGAAATAAAATCTTTATCTTTTGTTTTCTGTTGGTACTTACCAGAAGTTAGCGTAAACAGTAGGCTCTTAAAACGGTTACATGCCTTAACTCAGAAACTTGGCCAGTTTTGTATCCCAGCATTTGAGAAGATGAAACAAGAAGATAAGATTACCATTAGTTTGAGGGCAGCATGGGTTACATAGTGAGGTTCAGGCTAGCCTGGGCTATAGAGTAAGACCCTGCCTCAATAACAACGGAACAAACAAAAGCAACTGAAAAGAAGAGATGGAAGGAAGAAATTAGGTTTGGTTTCCTGTCATGACCAATGGCTCTTCCTCTTAACCCTATCCTGGGGCCTTGTAGAAGTAAATTGACCAATAGAGTTTTAGTCGCAATTTTATTGGATTTGAGGGTCATCTTAGGACATCTGTTAGAACCAACTCCTTAGGGAACTGCTTATTAAATAATAATAGCTAGATCATATGTTGGAATTGATTTAAAACTTAGCAAAAATGACAGTAATTTCTTGAGATAGTAGTTAAAGCGAATAAACTAACAATCTAATTATGAAGTTGTCAAATTCCGTAGATGTGCAACAGAAAAAGTACTGATGTACATATTAACCCATGCCATTCTCTAAAATCTTGCCTCACAGATTCTGAAAATATTTGTATTTTTCAGAAATAAAAAGTATGATAGTTTACAGGTTTCATTTATTTAACTGAAGGTAATTCTTTTAGAATGAGAATTCTACAATAGAAAGTACAATTTCACATTAAGTTAAAACCAACAACAACAAAGCCAACTTAATTTCCTAGAAAGTAGTGTATGAGACTAAGATTTAAACAGAGAAATCCTTGTTTACCAAGGGGACCAATGATAATGGTTTCTGCAAGATGTGCCCAGATGCAGCTCCGGGAGGGAAACTGTACCTTAATCCTGCATCCAGTTCTATTGAGGGCAGGTAGTGAGGCCTCAGAGTGACTGAAGGGAACATCGTCAGCCTGACCTACCTGATGTCAAGGAACTAGAGGCCAGGAGCAGTGGCAGCAGAATCTTCACATGATAACATGCTGTTGAGAAGCAATCGGTAGAGAGCACCGTGGCCCTAAAGAGTCCGGGGTCTGGTCTCCTCTCTCTTACTTGCCATGTGATGTAACTTTCAGTTTCAGTTTTCTTCCCTGTGTGAAGAAATTTGTAGCATTAATGATACAAATTGCCTTGACTCATCATTACTATGATTAGTTATCACTGGCTATACTATTGGGTTTTATAATTTTGTAATGTTATTATTTTAAACACACAAATTCTACTATAATCTTTCATTCCTACTTCAGCTTTGTATAAAAATTAGGGAAAGGAATGTTTAAGCCAGGCACTATGAATTTTGAAAAAAAAAATATAGATTTGTTGCTCTAGAGTACAGGGAATCATTAATAAGTATAATTTTTAACATATTGAAATCTTGGGCTGGAGAGATGGCTCAGCCGTTAAAGGCTAGGCTCACAACCAAAACATATTGAAATCTTACTTATATAATCTTACTATACTTTTTTTGGGGGGGTACTGAAAATTGATCCCAGGGCCTGGTTCATGCTAAGCAAGGTGCTCTACCACAGAGCTATATTGCTAAATCTCTTTAAAAATTAACAAGATGCACATGATATGCCATAATAAATATATTTTAAAAGTTGACTCAGAAAAATATATTTGAGGTTCTTCCTTGATCTAATATGTAGCGTTCTTTGTTTTAATCCTTGGTGTCTAGCAGTAGAAAACTTCTATGTAGACTGAGATGATCATATGTGCTTAGGTCAGCTTGGCTGTGTGGCAGTTCTCTGAACTGACTCAGTTTCTGTGAGACCCCCTAGGAAATGTGTCAGCAGTCACATACTAGCTGGAATTATGGCAGAGTTACATGGTTATAAGTTGTACCAGACACACTGAAATTGGCCTTGCAAATTCCACGTAGAAACAGGGCCTTATCCAGGAGTTGGTGAGGGCAGTAGCCTGTGTCCATCATTTAAAGCAGGTACAGTTGCAGCTGGATAAAGGTTTGGGTCCTAGGTTGTAAGTGCATCCTTCAGCTAGAGGGGGTGTTTGCACAGCCTAGCCATGTAGGATCCTGCTAAGTTGATCCCTATCCCTGTGTTTGCTTCCTCACATGTATGGAACCTTCCTTCAAACAAAAGAATTTTTTTTAATTAGCTTACAAAGTGGCAGGTTTCTTAAGGATACTTAGGGCTTTGCCATGCATCCTTAGTTTGGGTTGACCCCTACCCCCTCTTATATATTTCCACCCTCAGTATTCTGTCTTCTACCTTCATACTCTTTCCAACCATACCCAGTTACAAATTCGAAATGTATTCTATATAGTTTATAGAGATGACCTATCCTGTGTTTCTGCTCTGAGGCAAAACTTCAACTGAAGCTTTTAGTATTATGTGTTTTATATGCCTTATATTATATTGTCTGACCTGTACTATTTGCAAGCTGATATAAAACTCCAATAATGTAGAGCTGATAAAATTAATCATAACACTGAAGCATTTGAACTCTGATATTTTAGCATGTTTTCCTCTAAGTTTTAGCTGCCATGTCAGACTTAGGGTGAGGGATAAGTCAGATTTTGGAGGCATTTGTAAAGAACTAAGGCTTCAGGATCTAGTATGTCAAGGTGAAGCCAGAGTTACGAGTATGTGACTTTGACTAGGTTTAGACTCTTGAGAGGAGCAGCAGGAAGAATGGTTAAAGTGTGGTCGAGTGATTGGAAGTCAAGGTCTGAGCTAAATTTCAGTTCCTCACCTGCTGTTACATCAGCAGGTGCAGGCTGCACTCTTGTGCTCCTGCACACCTAGCCTGGCCCCCTGACTGTGACCTGGGATTGTTACAACTTCTTATGCACACACTTTTGTTACATGTTGTAAGTAGGTTGAGTTTCATTGTGTGGGAATCCAGGCTGGAATGATGGTGATGGATCACAGAACCATGTGGCCTTGCCCTCTGGAGTGGTTGGTGTCAGTGTTTTTAGCCTGCAGTTCTTACCTAGGTGTTAGTAAAAGCAGAAAATAACAGCCCCTCTTTAAGTGGGTATGCTTTGTGCTCACTGTAGTCTGTCATTTCATGAAAGTTCCCCCCCCTTTTTTTTTTGTTTTTAGATATAATACTTTGCCAAGCAGAAGAACCCTGAAAAATTCAAGATTAGTGAGTAAGAAAGATGATGTTCATGTCTGTATCATGTGTTTACGAGCCATCATGAATTATCAGGTATGTGTTGAATTATCAGTATATGTTTGCTTCAATCCTTTAAAAGATTCTAATGTTAGCAGACTAAGATCTCTCTCTCTCCCTCTCCCTCTCCCTCTCCCTCTCCCTCTCCCTCTCCCTCTCCCTCTCCCTCTCTCTCCCTCCCTCCCTCCCTCCCTCTCTCTCTGTGTTGGTGTTTATATAACTCTTTGAAGTGAAGATCATCATTTAATGAGATTCTATTCAGGAAAGTCTGATTCATTCTGATGCTCAATATTTAGTTCCTTGGCTGTGTATTTTAGTATTTATAATTTATCATGTAGTGATACTCTATCCTACATTACTTGGTAAAAGTTTGTTAGCACCATGGAAAGCAAGCTTGTACTTGTGAGTAATGTTGGACAGCTTTAGATCACAAGGAATGAGGTACCTGTTGCACTAGCTGATGTGGTGGTCGATCAAGAGGTTATAGTTATTGTGTGTTAGCACCAGTGCTTCCTGATCTCCACAAGGAGCATGTGGAACAATGTCAGAAGTGCACATTCCTGCTTTGGCTGGTTATGCTGTGGGTTGACCTCAGTCTGACAAATACTGTAGCATTATGCATTTGGTTAATCCTACAACACAGTGGAAAATGAGTGTCTGAAGGATCTAGGGTAAATGAAGAGGGCCGTAAACCAAATGGGGTAGTAATAAAAAAAAATGGATTAATGATTTAAACCTCAGATTCCCAGGTTGGAGACTAGATACACGAGGGTCCAGGTTAGCATTCACACCCAACATTGGAGTGTGAGTGGAGTGTGTGAAGGCAAGCATGCTTTGGCCTTTCCCCACCAATTGAAGGTTTTCAGTGCTTCACCAGACAGAGACAGTCTTCTAGGTTCTGAGAATGCTGCAGTCCATAAAACTGTGTCAAGAACTCACTTTCCAGAGAGGGTAAGCATGGCAGGACTGCACCGCTAAAGTGTATAGCATTTCAGATCATAACGATGATGAGAAGAACCAAAGCCAGCCACCTCCACGGTACACTTCGCAGGTCTTATGCTTGCAAATTCATGCAACCACACATCCCTGAGAGATTGGTAGTGTCACCTCCCCATTTTACTTTTGAGAAAACTGAAAAGTTAAGCAATATCCTCCACAGTACATGGCTAATAACTTGTACCAAGTTTGAATCCAGGTAGGCTTTGAACGCAGGGAATTATTATTGCTAAATACCACAGAAAAAAGGAATCAGAATTAGGGATAGAAGGGCCCCAACTGTATATGCAGATTTAGATTGGCCACTAGGAGAGTGTCACTGAGGAGGTAGCAATTCCGAAAAGTAAGTGAACTCAGCGAATAGAGGAAGAGCTAGTAGAGAAAGAATCTAGGCAGAGGGTAGGGCAAGTGTCAAGGTCCTGGAGCAGGAAAGGAGGTCTGCTTGGATGGAGCAGAAGGAGTAAGGAAAAGAGAAGATGAAAGCAGAAACAACAGGGATTATGTAGAGTCTTGTAGGCCAGTAAAAGACATGACTTTGTTGCAATCAGAAAACGAGGAGCAAGGCATTCTGTGGGCATAACATGACATTTGCTCTAAAGGCATTGTTAGGGCTTCTGGGTTTAGCATTGGCCTGTGGGCACAGAGGCAAGAGGAGGTAAACTATTTCAGAGGTTACTGGCAGCAACTGGGTGAGTGTTGGTGGTGGTATGGCTCAGAGCTATAGGAGGAGAGATGAGGAAAGTGGACCTCTTTGGATGGATGGTAAGGGCCGCAGCATTTGGTCGTGTACTGAGGGCAAAGGTGAGTAACAGAGCAGGTGCCAAGAGTTCATCCTGGGGCTATAAGATGAAGTTGCCTCTGCTGGACTGCAGGATGAGCAGGTTTGAGAAAGAGCGTTAGGAAGTCCATTTGCAGACTTTAAGTGAAATATCTATTTGACGTGCAAATAGTGATCTGAAGTGGGTATTTGGATAAGCCAGTCTGAATACTGAGGTGGAGGTGTGGGCAGGACATAGATATGTGAACATAATTAGCATAAAATGGTATGATCCTGGGCTAGTCAGTGGAGAGGAGGTCCTTAATATGAGCCCTAAAAGGCACTCCATTTAAATTTTGGAGAGAGAAAAGCCAAGAAGAAAGTCTGGGCAGTAGCTAAGAGGGTAGAAGGCAGCCAGAGGAAGTGCTACACTGTCTGATGCTCCTGATAAGTCATGCAGGATGAATGAGGGCCGCCCAGGGTCTTCAGCTATCAGCTAAGTGCACATCCCTGGTGATCCCAGCACGAGCAGGTTCAGGGCTGGGAGCTGAAAGGCCTCATGGGAGTGGCTTTCAGAGCACACAGTCAGAGGAAGTAAGAGTCAGGGTTGTCCACCCTCCTGATGCTGAGACCCTTTAGTGCAGGTCCTCATGCTGTGGGGACCCCAACCATACAATCATTTTCATTTCTACTTCATAACTGTCACTTTGCTATTGTTAGGAATTATAATGTATATATCAGATACGCAGGATATCTGATAGGTGAGGGGTCAAGACCCACAGGTTCAGAACCACTGCTAGACTTCAAATCTTTGAAGGGACTTTGCTGTAAAGGCTAGCAGGGAAATGGGAAGGTGTAGCTGAACACAGGTTATGGTGTCAAGCAAGGGTTCTGTTGCACTACACACACACACACACACACACACACACACACACACACACACACACACATATTCTAATGATAATGAGTTAGTAGAGAAAGACAAATAAGCATGTAGAGCTTTCAGTACATTGCATGGTTTTTGTCTTTTTTTTTGAGCTGAGGATTGAACCCAGGGTCTTGCGCTTGCTAGGCAAGTGCTCTACCACTGAGCTAAATCCCCAACCCGGTTTTTGTCTTTTTGAGCCAGGATCTCAGGTAGACCAGGATAGCTTTGGACTCATGATCCTCTTATCTGCACTGGCCAAAGTGCTAGAGTTGCAGCTGTGTTCCCTCATGCTGGCTCATAGAATGCTCTTGAGTGGATGAGAGGAAGTGAGGTCGGGCATTCAAGTGGAGGGGCTGGCCTCAGATTGGAGCAGAGACCTGTTTATCTCTGAAAGGAGGTAAGCTGGGCAGATGAACATGTCAGGAGCTTTAGAAAGTTTGCTTTAGCTTTTGTTTTTTTAGATATGCCCTGCTGTGTGGCCCATGCTGACCTCTAACATGCCATTTTCCTGCCTCAGCCTCAAAAGTTTTTTTTTTCTTCTAATTTTTCTTGTCCATTGATTGCGTGTATCTTCTCAGCATGAGAGGAGGAAGCTTAAATCTGTGTGTGCATTTAGAAGACACAATAGCGGGAGGCAGAGAAGGCAGATCTCTGTGAGTTCGAGGCCAGCCTGGTCTACAGAGTGCGATCCAGGACAGGCACCAGAGCTACACAGAGAAACTCTGTCTCAAAAAAAAAAAACAAAACAAACAAACAAAAAAAATAGAAGACACAATAGTTGCCCAGCTTATCAGAATCCGGATTCTTGATGTGGACTGGCTTGTTTGTACGAGTGGTGGAGAAGTGTGCATCTGAATGGCCATTGCCAGAGGGCTGGGGGTGAGGGTAGTGGGGAGATGGACTAGAAGCTGGGAATGGTCAGCCCTAGGTGCATGGTGGAGTCATCCTGGATGTTTGAAAAATGCAGATTTCAGGGCTTTGTCTTTGAAATGCAGAGTAAGCTGATCTGGGCGGATCTTGGGAATTTAACCAGGGCTTGGTTTTGTTTGGCCTTCACGGTGATTTGATGAGTATACAATTTTTGAATCACTAGAGTAGAGACTTTCACTCATTTAATAAAGAAAAACACATTGTTCACTTATAAATAATGAAAGGATGCTTGTGAGCAAAGTACCCATGACAATGCATGGCGTCTTCAAAAATCTGGGGGAGGAAGTATGTTCTTGCACTGGTGTGCTAAGAGCTCAGCTGCCTTTCTAGAAGATAAGAGTTACATGAAGTGGAGATGTCAGTGGGTTTTGGCACTGTTGGGGATTGGATCTAGGGGCTCACTCATGGGAGGCAAACTCTTCCCCTGAGCTGTGCCAGCCCAAGTGTTTGGTTTTTAATCAACATTGACTTAGCTTGTAATGGTTGCTTTCCCTCTCTGCCTTTCAGTATGGTTTCAACATGGTCATGTCTCATCCACACGCCGTCAATGAGATTGCACTAAGTTTGAACAACAAGAATCCCAGGTAAGCATCTTTTGTAATGTTCAAGCCTAAATCTTACCAGGGAAGCAGGGGGATAGTCAACACTTAACCATGTTAGGATTGAAAATCTTCCAAGGGTGGCTTCTCCAAGCAAGACTGGCTGTAAACCCCTTGGCCGTGTAGAATGTTCCCTCTGACCTGGCTAAACTCCTGTAGGGAGCAGCGTTGAGCGCTGGTGACAGCTCCTGCCCTTCACTCTTGTTTTACCTTTCATTCCCTGGGCAACCTTGTTCTTTGAATCTCTGCTGAAGATTTTGATGGGCAGGAGTAGGTTGCCAGTTCACCCAGGCATGGAGACCAGAGAGTACCGGTAAGGGTTTAGCTACACCAGTTGTGTGAAAGCTGGGCAGCCCACCGTACCCGACTTCTGTCTCTTGATACCTTCACACATGTAGCTTAGTTGAGAACCGAAAAAGAAACACAAACACAGGTAACTGTGTGAGCATCCTTTCCTCTTCCACGCGCTGTCAAGGCCAGTACCACACATTGTAGCCATTTTACTCATGGTTTGTTTTTTGATTGTTAAAGTACTTTGTCCTCTGGTGATTTCTGCCTTTCGGTTGTATAAGACTCTCTTCAGATACCCTTTTAAGAACTGAAAAATTATCTAGAAACTATTAATTCCTTTAAAAAAAAAAAACCTCTGATTATAAATTGGCTCTTTTAATTTCAAAGGGAATTGAAATTGTAAAGTTCCGTTTACATATTGGATATTTTGGTTTTGTGATTGCTTTTGCAGTTTGCTAAAATCCAAAATAGTCATGCTTCTTTGTTCCCGCCTTCCACCACAGGGAGGTCATCAGCCATTTTTCTTAAGACAGTCGACATTGTGGAGTATCAGGACAGTCTTTGTTAAGAGGTTGGCAGTAGTTTTTATTCTAGAAAAAGGTGAAATCCTAAAGTAATCTTATGATGAAGAAACGATGCTGTTCCTTTCTTCACATTTTATTTGCAAACTTTGAATTCATCTCTAGCTGCTTCTTCCAAATTGATTTCAGATGCACCTTTATTTTCTGAGTCAGAGAAACTATTTTTTCTATTAATACAGCTGTAATCTGGCACTTTCCTGCTCTCCGGCATAACAAGAAGAAATACTAGAAACTCATCATGTAGGATTTTTAAAGGCCCTAGTTCCAAAAGTGAAATACGAACATTAATTCCAGTTGATTTTGAATTTTGTCATGTTATACTGTAGACAGTTAAAACTGACCACCCCCACGCACTCCACATTCACCGCAGATTGCATACCCAGGAAGGTCTCGGAATGTGCTGGGGGCCCTTCAGTTACTGAAGGCTTAATGGATGTGCGGGCCAGTGCTCAATTCCTTGAGTGTTCATCCTGGAAGGAGCAGCTGACTCATTATGTCTCCTCAGTGATTTACGTTTTTCTTTCCTCTTGTTTTGACAGGACAAAAGCTCTCGTCTTGGAGCTCCTGGCAGCCGTTTGTCTTGTCAGAGGCGGGCATGAAATCATTTTATCAGCTTTTGATAACTTTAAGGAGGTAGGATGCATAGTTTCTCTAAGAGTACACAAATGTCTCACATCTTTGAATGGAGCAGTTTACCTTTTCACTGATTCTAGGACTAAGGGAACACAAACAGCGAATTTTCTTGAGGCGTTACTGAGTTTTGGTTTAAGTATCTTATGTGGCTGAATGAAGCTTTTGTGGGGTGTTTCATTGCCATCACATGTTAAAACTGTTTGCAGTATTCATTTTCCTTTGGAGCATGGGGAACAGTCATTTGGCAAACAGGCTTTGATACACATACATTGAATTAAGGTTTATATAGTGTAAATTCCAGTAAATTTTATGAACTCTTTCATCCTAATTCTCCCAGATCCTGTTTATTTTCATTGCATTGCTGGATGCTATCTATGTAAAACCCACCAAACCTGTCAAATAGGGACACCCATTGTAGGATTTTACAGTCTTAACTGAGAGGTGCTATTATACACGCACATGCGTGCATGCTCAAACACTCCCCCCATAAAACTACTCCCCCCCCCCCACACACAAAGAAAAAACTTAATACTGGGGGATTAAAGCTGGGTGTGGAGGTAGACAGACCTGAGATCCGAAGCACTGAGGCAGGACATGGGGTGAGGGTAGAGAAGATGTAAAATGATGATTTGGCTACATAGTGAGTTCCAGGCCAACCTGGGCTGCATGGGACTCTGGTGTTCCTCCCAGCAATAAAAACCCCAACAACAACAAATAAGCGGACGTATTTGGTTGAAATAGAGACTGAGCGCTGGAGATTTGGTTCAGTGGTATCAGTGTAGGTGGTATGGCATTCGCTCAGCATGTACAAAGTCCTAGGTTCGGGTTCCTGCACTAGTGCGAGGGAAAACTGAGCTCAGAAACAGAGGTAATATGTAAGTGAGTCTGCCACGAAAATATTGGGACATCTCTACTGAGGAAGAGGCCAGTGTTCCTTTGGAGTGGTAGGCAACGCTGTGGCCAAGCAGAATGACTACCTCCATATTCCACCTCTCTATGCCACATCTCAGGCCACTTTGAGTGGGGAAAATTACAAACAGCCCTGGGAGAATGTTGAAGGCATTCAGAGCTCTAGGTTGTTAGGATACTTGGCCAAGATATGCCTTAGCCTGGCGATACTATTTAATTCCAAATATTTCTGCATTAAGACTCAAGCTAGCCAGGTGGTGGTGGCACACGCTTTTAAACCCATCTCTCGGGAGGCTGGATTGATCTCTGTGAGTTCCAGGGCAGTCTAGTCTACACAGTGAATTCCAGGACCGCCAGGGCAGTATAGAAAGACCAGGTCTCAATCAATCAATCAATCAATCAATCAATCAATCAATCAATCAATCTTCAAGCCAAGCTAATTTAAATATGGTTGCCTTTGGGGTTTCCAGAGGTGCTCTGTCATCTTTTCTGAATGTCTCTGGAAAAGGATGTGAATATGTTTCTTTTTTTTTTTTTTCTTTTTGGTTTTTTGAGACAGGGTTTCTCTGTGTAGCTTTGCGCCTTTCCTGGAACTCACTTGGTAGCCCAGGCTGGCCTCAAACTCACAGAGATCTGCCTGGCTCTGCCTCCCGAGTGCTGGGATTAAAGGCGTGCGCCACCACCGCCCAGCTGTCAATATGTTTCTTGAGCACCAACTATACACCGGTGCAGAACCAGCCACAGACACATCTTTAATGGTGTAATTTTCTAGAAGAATTTCAGGTAGCTGGTATACCCACAGCAACACAGGCAGTCAGTCAGTGGCCATGCTAGGCTCAGCATCTGTTCTAATTCTGAACTTCTAAGATGTCTGTGACTCTCCTGAGGGAAATAAAAGAAATGCTGAATTTGACCACCAAATAATGCCTTTAAAAATAAATATATTCAGCCTCAGTAGTGGTGAAACCATACCTGAGTTCTAAGAGGGTAATGAATAATAGGGAATCTTTATGTTCACATCTGGCTTTCAAAACAAATGAACTTCAGGGGTCAGAATAAGTGCTTGTTTGTGAGTCTATATATCATGTATAAATATATATACATTTTACATCTACAAATAAGGAAGTGTATTTGGAAGGATGTGTTTAAAATGCAAGGTAAATAGCATATATTGCTGATATAATCCCCAAATCCTTACCATGAGGCCACACTTGAAAATATCACAGACTATTTCAATACCATATTGAGAATATCACATGCCAAATCTCGTCTACACTGGAAACACTTACTATATGTTTATTCTTGACCTTAGTCATAATAGATCTCATATCCTGTAATATAGCTTTAATAACCCTCTGGTTATATTGTAAGTCAAATTATATATTAAAATTATATCGTTTGAATTAAAGCTGTCCATTTAGGATGTGCTTTAGTTTTGTTTTCTCATACTTATTCATAGCAAATACACAGATACATGCAGAATCGAGTCAGATCTTCCTATGCCAGGAATTTCTGTATCAAAATTGTGCGTGTTTTAGCTATTTAGGGGATAGCATGTGCTTAGTTGAAGTAAAAGGAACTCCTAAATCCAGGCACTGGCAGGTGATGAATAAGGTGAAATTATTATGACTTGTCTGTGTTTAAAGCCTTAACAAAAGCAGCAGTTTGTGGAATCCCTTATCCGTTCTGGTGGCTTAGGTTCTGTTTCTCTTGGCTTCCCCCTTTGCATCTGAGAGACCATGCCATGTGGCTGAGCACCCACACATTTGTGTGTTCTTTGCCTGCGGGACAAAATATACTGCCATCAGCTCAATGCTCCTCAAATTCCTTTCTTTTCAGTTACCAGATTGGCATAGCAAGCACTTGACCCACCATCTTCTGGTCCTAGGAGTCTGGCCCTGGGTGTTCTCACACCTTTTTTTTTTTATCTTTGGCTGTTCTGGAATTCACTCTGTAGATCAGGCTAGCTTCAGACTCACAGAGATTCACCTCTGTCTCCCGAGTGCTGGGATTAAAGGTGTGGGCCACCACCGCCTAGCTGTGTTCTCACATCTAAAGTATATATTTAGGAATAGGAAGCACACAGCTTAATGGAATCTGAAGGATGTTAACCCAATTTTATAGGACATTGCTTATTATGGTGAGGTTGGGTCTAAGGCCAACTAAGCAAGGCTATGTATTACCTCAACGTGTATGATGGTGAGTGAATTTTAGTGGTATAACTTTAGATGGCAGCTTGTACCCTAAAACAGTAGTGTGAATGGTTGAAGACTAGATCATTAATAGGTAACCACTGTTCTCAGATTTTTCTTCTCTAAGAACAATTAAATAAAAGGAATTAACACATCTGGTTTTGGTGTTGAAGTGTCTCCTCATGAAAATTTATGCTCCTGAAATGAGGACCAGGGTGAGAACAAAGGGCCATCTGTTTTTCCTTATTGGTTCGTTTAGCCATATGGAAAGACAACCGTCTTCTCGAAGTTCATTCTTAGTTGCATGGCTGTATACATTTTTGAGCATTGAATCTGTGAGATAGCAAGAAACACTTGGATTTATAGGAGCACTTTTGGTGTTTGAATTAGTTCAGAGTCTTCTTTTTAAGAAGCAGAATCTTACTCTAACATATGGAAGAGAGGGTAGATGAAGGAGCTCAAGAAACAGAGATACGAGCAAGAGCCTAAGAGCAGCCATAGAGAACGGACAGGCATTGCAGATGTGGCTAGCCTGTGGCAAGCCTGCGGATGCTTCTGTGAGCTGAGCCATCCTCAGCACCGTGGAGTTCTGGTCATGCTTCTTCTTTTCTCCCAAGCAGCATGTATCTTGTCTAGAAACCCATGGGCTCATAAAACCCTGCCTACCCTGTAGGGCCTTGACAACCCTCACTGTAGATTCAGAAAGTTTCTAGTTCAGTTTTCCGCACATTTTCAACCTGGACCTTGTTCACACCCTTTTCCTTAGCCTTCCTCCTTTTGTTATACTCTTGGGTATAGTTGAGAAAATGCCTTACTTTTAAAAGGCACTTTCAAAATGTGGCGAGGAGAGCTCTCACTTGGGGTCCCAGGAAAAGCACCACGACCTAGAAGACTGTGATACAACAACTTATTGATAAAACCTGGTGGCTCTGAGGCGCCAGCTCTCCCAGGCTGCTGGAAGTATCCCTGCACTGCTTCAGGACTCCGGATCAGGTGTAACAGTTTCCATCTGCTTCTGTAATGACAACATCTGGCTTAAGCCAAAGAGCCCCAGTTTGGTTAGTAAAGCCTTACCCCCTTCACTTCTGATCTTCCAGTAGAGATACATAGAACCCTCTAAAATGAGTCACTCAAGGCCACCAGCTCTCTTGTATGCAAGACTTTTGGCAGTACCTGTAGCTAGAGTTTTCCTGCCTGGCCCACAGTCAGGGCAAATCTCTCTCACCTGCCAGTCCCACAGCCGCTCAGACCCGACCAAGTAAACACAGAGACTTATATTGGTTACAAACTGTATGGCCGTGGCAGGCTTCTTGCTAACTGTTCTTACAGCTTAAATTAATCCATTTCTATAAATTTATACCTTGCCACGTGGCTCGTGGCTTACCGGCATCTTCACATGCTGTTTGTCATCGTGGTGACTGGCAGTGTCTCTCTGACTCAGCCTTCCACTTCCCAGCTTTATTCTCCTCCTTGTCCCGCCTATACTTCCTGCCTGGCCACTGGCCAATCCGTGTTTTATTTATTGACCAATCAGCAACACACTTGACATACAGACCATCCCACAGCACTTCCCCCCCCCACTCTTTTTTTTTTTTCAAAAAGGAAGGTTTTAACCTTAACAAAGTAAAATTACACATAATTTGGGAATTTGGGCGTAGCTTCTCTTACTACTTCCTGCTGGAGGAGGCCGCTGTATCTTATAGGGACACAAAGAAAATTTTAGGATTAGGGAATAGTCCATGAGGCTGTATTGTCTGAGCCAGTTGCCTTCAAACCATTCTGGATGTTGGATCATCTGGGCCATGGTGTCATCGGAGACCTTTCAGGGGGTCTTGGCTGGTCAAACCTGATGTATCTTAATCTGGAACAAATCCATAGCCTTTGGCTTTCTGTGGGAAC